TAAACTAAACTAACTTTATTTATACTGGATAGATCTATCAGTTCTAAACTGTTCTTCCTAGAGGTCCAGTAAGGATCATCTCTTATTGATCCAGTGTTGCTACAGGAGGGAACCTAAACTAAACCAACTTTATTTATACTGGATAGATCTATCAGTTCTAAACTGGTCTCCCAAGAGGTCTAGTAAGGATCATCCTTTATTGAGTCAGTATAAGTCTTCCTAGAGGTCCAGTATAAGGACTTCTACGTAAAGTTTACTGAAACACATATATTATGTAGGTTCAATCACATGTGAAGAGAAGAATACAACAGACATCAACTGTCCTCCTTCGCAAGTGATCAAAATAACAAAGGCAAATTACGGAGGTTACGGCTCGATCAAAACTTGTGGTTATAACAGGAATTACAACTGTTTGCTGCCGTCAGCTTTGTGTCACGTGAAACGTTCATGCGATGGACGTCAGAACTGTGAGATGGAAGTCACGACCGACGAATTTAAAGAAGATACTTGCCCAAGCATGAAGAAATATCTGTATGTGGAGTATAAATGTATCGATAGGAGTGCTTTTAAGACAGAAAATATGATTGGTAAGTTTTGGGTTTTAATCGTTCCTATACACACGGAAATGTCTCCTTGTATCAAGTTTGCCAACAAGTTGTGTTCGCACTGCTTGTCCCAAGTTGTCAATAAGTATGGAACAAGCTGTTAACAAGGTTGTTCCAAAAGTCTGATACGTCAGTCATCAATATAACAATATTTTTACAACCTTGTGTCGTCAACCTTGTAACATTCTTGTTATGTCATGACTGTATCAGACTTGTTAGAACAACCTTGTATACAAGTCTGATAATGCCATCAAGCTTGTTATAAGTTGTTAACAGCGTGTTCCAAACTTGTTAACAACAACTGGGAACAAGCAGTGCGAACACAATTGTATTCCAACAACTTGTCAACAGGATGTGTTCGCACTGCTTGTTCCCAGCTTGTTGACAACTTGCTACAAGGTTGTTGAGCTCAATAAACTTGTTACAAGTTGCTCCAACAACTGGTTATTGTCCTGCAATTTAACAATTTGTCAACAAGTTGTGAGTGACAACCTTGTAGCAACTTGATAAAATAACAGCATTGTTACAACTTGTTGACAAGCTTGCTACAAGCCTGTTGCGAACACATCTTGTTGACAAGTTGTGACATTTTTACGTGCGTAGGAGAATACGCGATCGGTCTTTGCGTGTGTACACACGTAAATAAAAACGCACAAGTTGTAACAGGTCTGCAAACAAGTTGTTACAAGTCTGTTCACAAACTGTCAACAAGTTGTGCTCGCACTGCTTGTTCCCAGTTTGTTGTAACAAGTTTGAAACATTAAGTTGTTAACAACTTGTAACAAGCTTGATGGCATTATCAGCCTTGTTACAAGATTTTGCTAACAAGTTTGTTACAGCCATGATATAACAAGGATGTTACAAGGTTGTCAACACAAGGTTGTAACAATCTTGTTATATCAAGCATGTCACAGTCTTGTCAGAACAACCTTGCAACAAGTCTGATAATTTCGACAAGGTTGTTACAAGTTGTCAACAAGTTGTTCCAAACCTGTTGACAACTTGTGACAAGCAGTGCGAATACATCTTCTTAACAGCTTGTGAACAGACTTGTAACAAACTTGTGCGTTTTTACGTGTGTATACAAACTTCGTCACGTTCATGACTTCTTTTGTGTTGTTCATGAATTATTAATGAGACGTACAAGGTATTTTACATAGACAGTAATGTTCATTTTTAGTTAGGAAGATACGACTGGCTTCCGAATCCACACCCGGTCGAGGTTTTGTTGAATTACTAGAAGATAGCAAACCAAATACTTGGCAACGTTTGTGTATCAACAATATGAGGGACATAGTGAAAGGCGTGATTTGCCGAACACTTGGTTATTCTGGTGTACAAGAGGAGCAGTCCAGTGTCGGTAGCGGTCAGGAGGATGAAGGAAATCTGGAAATACCTGTCCTTCATGGCAATGTGTATTGCAACAGCCAAGACAATAACGTGTCTTCGTGTTGTCTGGAGAAAGTGAATTCTGAAGAAAATTCGTGTTCTACCATGGCGCGCGTTTCATGTGAGTATTTTGAATTCACACAATTTCCGTATGTCTAGACTAATATTTGATCTGGACAAGAAAGGTGAAATCTATCATTATAGCTTAAAAGAACATCCTTAAATTAGTAATATTGCCAAATTTGGTTGCAAAATGTTGTAAAACACGGAAAATATAGTCCTGTGAAATTAGCAAATTTTGAGTATTTTAGTATTACGCGCGGAAAAAAGCACCACTTTTGGAGCCTGAAGTTGCAAAATTTGCTAATTTTACATGGCTATATTTTCCGTATTTTACAACATTTCGCAACCAAACTTTGCAATTCTACTAATTTTAGGATGCTCTTTTGAGCTATAATGATAGATTTCGTCTTTCTTGTTTAGATAAAAAATTAGTCGATAGCTGGAATCATCCATTGCTGGGGAGATGGCGTTTCAATTTCTTGCCTCCGTAATGTCGACATTTCCAAAGTTGACCATTATCAATTATACAAGTACGTAAATCATGATTTATTTATTTCTAGGTGCAATCTGTTCAGAACCAGTTCTGAGCAGCACACACGATCCAGTTGTCGTATACAGTGCCTCGAACTCCTTGCCTGGTTATTCCGCTGAGCAAGCTGCAATGTCGAGCGATTCCACGTGGTGCGCACGTGATTCACCTGAGTCACATGACTACTTGAAGCTTGACCTTGGCGAGGCGTACGTCATCACGCAAGTAGCGATTTTGGGAGCTGTACCGCGAGGAAACTGGGTCACAGCATACGAAATGTTATACTCTAAGGACGAGGCCGATTGGTTACCTGGGATTGCCAATGCGCAAAATGTAAGTCCATAAGGTAAATTATGTACCCACGTAAAAACGCGCAAGTTGTTTAGCAGATCTGCAAACAAGGTTGTTGACAAGCCGATATCAGGATGTGTTCGCACCAGTGAACTAAGGTTCGCACTGCTTGTTCCCAGTTGTTGTGACAAGTCTGGAACAAGTTGTTATCTTCTTGTTACAAGGTTGACGAGACCAACAGACTCGCAACAAGTTGTTCCAGCAAGTCTGAAACACGCGTAAAAGTCTCACATCTTGTATCAAGTCTGCCAACAAGCCGTCAACAAGTTGTGTTCGCACTGCTTGTCCCAAGTTGTCAAAAAGTTCGGAACAACTTGTTAACAACTTGTAATAAGCTTGTTGATATTATCAGACTTGTTGCAAGGTTGTTCCAACAAGTCCGATACAGTCATGATATAACAATATTGTTACAACCCTGTGTGGTCCAACATATAAAATTCTTGTTATAGTGTTATATCATGACTGTATCAGACTTGTTAGAACAACCTTGTAACATTCTTGTTATATCATGACTGTATCAGACTTGTTAGAACAACCTTGTAACATTCTTGTTATATCATGACTGTATCAGACTTGTCAGAACAACCTTGTAACATTCTTGTTATATCATGACTGTATCAGACTTGTTAGAACAACCTTGTATTACTTGTAACATTCTTGTTATATCATGACTGTATCTGACTTGTTAGAAAAACCTTGTAACATTCTTGTTATATCATGACTGTATCAGACTTCTTAGAAAAACCACCTTGTAACATTCTTGTTATATCATGACTGTATCAGACTTCTTAGAACAACCTTGTAACATTCTTGTTATATCATGACTGTATCAGACTTGTAAGAACAACCTTGTAACATTCTTGTTATATCATGACTGTATCAGACTTGTTAGAACAACCTTGTAACATTCTTGTTATATCATGACTGTATCAGACTTGTTAGAACAACCTTGTAACATTCTTGTTATATCATGACTGTATCAGACTTGTTAGAACAACTTGTAACATTCTTGTTATATCATGACTGTATCAGACTTGTTAGAACAACCTTGTAACAAGTTTGATGATGGTATCAAGCTTGTTACAAGTTGTTAACAGTTTGTTCCAAACTTGTTACAACAACTGGGAACAAGTAGTGCGAACATAACTTGTGGACAGCTTGTGAACAGATTTGTAACAACTTGTTTGCAGACCTGTAACAACTTGTGCGTTTTTACGTGTGTATCGTCTGCACGCAACAAGTTGTTAACAAGTTTATGACAACAAGCTCGTAGCAACTTGTTAGTGAACAGCCTGTATTAGTCTTGTTGGAACAACTTGTAGCAAGTTTGTTGGCTGACAGAAAACATGATAAAGGTTATCGTAAAGAGTTAAATACCATTGATTCAAAGATTCAGTTCTTTTTTAATTTTTATTTAGCGTCTTCCCGGAAACTCCGCCAGTGATGAGTTATCCAGCTCTATTTTTGACTCCGTAATTCACGCGAGATTCATCAAAGTTTTCCCGAAATCATGGCAAGGCCATCCATGCTTGAAACTGGAGATCTGTGGACACAGTATGTGATTTTCTCTCCATCACTATTTTATTATTGTCTAAACGAAAGAACTCCTAATACTGTAAAGTAATTCTTTTGAAAAAATTGGTTCCCATGGTTTGTTCTTGAGATATTTCATTTTGTTTGAAACATGTAATTACTTCATTTACTCAATTACGTATATAATACATATGTAATGGGATAACAGTAAATGTTGTATATCTGTGTTATTTTTTACGGATTTTTTTAAAAAAAAGTATGTAAAATGATATAAGTTAAATTAACAAATGCCCCGCATTTTTGGAAAGATTTTGATAAAAAATAGCAAAGATACACAACAATTACTGATATCTCATTATATAGGTAACTGAATAAATGACGTCACATAAGAACAAAAATCTCCAAAACAAGTTACTATGCAGTTTTAAGAGCATTTTCGTTCAGCAAAATAAAAATTTTAATGACAGTGCCACTTTAAATGAAAATTAAACAACGCTTATACTTGGTCTATTTGTTCTAAACTGTTCTTGCATTTCTCACAACCGTTCATGTCTTAAAATTGTACATATATCTTTCACAGAGCTTCTTCCAGCTGCTCCAACAAATTTCACGCTGCGCAGACTCACAGCATATACCGCTGACCTGACATGGATCAAGCCTGCGGACACAGGTGATGGACAATTTACACATTATCAAATCAGTCTGCTCCGAGATGGAAAACTGGACTCTAACATAACAACTCAGACTGGATCGTGGCATTTTACTTCCTTGAGACCTTACACCAAGTATTCTGTGGTAGTACAAGCTGGTAATGATCATGGTTATGGTCAGGAGACAGAGCTGACATTTAGGACTAACTCAACAGGTACAAATGGTTTGACCACTGATCTTTTAAGTAATTCATTAAACTGGACAGTGCTTGCTAAAGGCTAGTCATTTACAGTAACACTAACACCTTTAGAACTGATAGAGCTAACCAGTATAAATAAAGTTAGTTTAGTTTAGGTTTCGTCCTGTAGTAACACTGGATCAATAAGAGATGATCCTTACTAGACCTCTAGGAAGAACAGTTTAGAACTGATAGAGCTATCCAGTATAAATAAAGTCAGTTTAGTTTAGGTTTCCTCCTGTAGTAACACTGGATCAATAAGAGATGATCCTTACTGGACCTCTAGGAAGAACAGTTTAGAATTGATTGAGCTATCCAGTATAAATAATGTTAGTTTAGTTTAGTTTAGGTTTCCTTATGTAGTAACACTGGATCAATAAAAAGATGATCCTTGCTGGACCTCTAGGAAGAACAGTTTAGAACAGACAGAACTGTCTGGATATTCTGTTTAATCTTTTTGATTTTCTTATTTCAGCCCCCACTGCTCCGCCATTGGACATCAAACTATCACCGATTAGTTCAACCTCGTTCAGTATTTCCTGGAAAGCACCGCCGTCGTTTTATCGAAATGGAATTATAACCGGCTACGAAGTTTGTTTTGCCTGGGTGAAATCAGATGAACATTGTGATCGTATCATCAGAACTACAGCGACAAGTATTCGCCTGGGTTACCTGTCGCCAGCCACTCAATACAAGGTTAAAGTTCTGGCGAGAAACGACGCGGGGTCTGGACACTACAGTGAAGAATATTTTCAGATTACTAATGCAGGTAAAAATATCAATAAGAGATAATCCTTACTGGACCTTTAGGGAGAACAGTTTAGAACTGATAGAGTTATTCGGTGTAAATAAAGTTAGTTTAGTTTAGGTTTCTTCCTGCAGTAACACTGAATCAATAAGAGATGATCAGACAGTTTGGAACTGATAGAGCTATCCAGTATAAATAAAGTTAGTTTAGTTTAGGTTTCCTCCTGTAGTAACACTGGATCAATAAGAGATGATCCCTACTGGACGTCTAGGGAGAACTGTTTAGAAATAATAGAACTATGCAGTATAAATAAAGTTAGTTTAGTGTCAATGGTTTGAATTTGAAAGCTATGTGTAGAAAACCTCGTTATTTTCTAAATTTTATGTAGAAGCTGCTGTCTGCAATCGCTCATCAATCACAAGTGAAACGTTCGTTGTCAAACCACAAAAACCCAGAGAAGAAGTCAGGTAAGACACTACTGGTAATATCAGACTGTCTCTCTGTAGTTCAGTTGGTCAGAGCGCTGCACCGGAATCGCAGGATTGCAGATTCGATTCCTACCAGAGGCTCTGTATAGTTGCATTTTTCACAACTGTTCCTGGTGAGGTTTCATAAATATGTAAAATTCACACTCTAATTCTCATGAAGTACTAAAGTGAATACTGTACTGAATACTATAGTGAATACTATACTATACCGTACTGTTGTGAAGACTAAAGTGAACACTGTCGTATTAATTATAAGTAAGATCTATTTCGCAACACCTTTGAGAAAATAATGTTAATTCTCGTCATTACACAGTAGTCTTGTAAACCTTCTTAAACAATTACGTTTTATAGATTTTGCCAAGTGTTAGTACTTGCCTTATCTTCAGACGAGAGTTTCCCTGGCGAACATCTTTTCTCTGCTGAAGCTGTGACATACCTTGATGCATCTGGTTCATCTATACCCTACATCACCGCAGAGTTCCGAGCTTCGGATTTTGACAAATATCAAGACTTTACTGTAGGAGACAGAGTGCTATTTCCTGCACTTTCAATGTTGAATAACAATAATAGCCAAGCAAAGAAATATTTTAATGGACCATTGACGCCAAATACTCGTTACACAGTGTTTCAGAGATTTCTCTCGGATAAGGTTGGTCTTCGCCTCCAGGAATACAACTATCCAGTATAAATAAAGTTAGTTTGGTCAAGGTTTCCTCGTGTAGTGACACTGGATCAATATAAGAGATGATCCTTACTGGACCTCTAGGAAGAGCAGTTTAGAACTGATATAATTATCCAGTATTAATATAGTTAGTTTAGTCTGGTCTAGTTTAGTCTAGTCTAGTCTAGGTTTCCTTCTATAGTAACACTGGATCAATAAGAAATTATCTTTACTGGATTTCTAGGGAAAACAGTTTAGAACTGATAGAGCTATCCAGTACAAATAAAGTTAGTTTAGTTCAGGTTTCCTCCTGTAATAACACTAGATCAATAAGAGACGATTCTTACTGGACCTCTAAGAAGAACAGTTTAGAACTGATAGAGCTATCCAGTATAAATAAAGTTAGTTTAGTTTAGGTTTCCACCTGTAGTAACACTGGATCAATAAGAGATGATTCTTACTGGACCTCTAGGGAAAACAGTTTAGAACAGATAGAGCTATCCAGTATAAATAAAGTTAGTTTAGTTTAGGTTTCCTCCTGTAGTAACACTAGATCAATAAGAGATGATTCTTACTGGACCTCTAGGAAGAACAGTTTAGAACTGATAGAGCTATCCAGTATAAATAAAGTTAGTTTAATTTAGGTTTCCTTCTTTAGCAACACTGGATCAATAAGAGATGATTCTTACTTGACCTCTAGGAAGAATAGATCGAGTTGATTAAAACACTAAAAACTCTTTCTTTTAGAAACTGCTGTATTCCTCCGACTTTCTTGCTCCTGTCAAAACAAGTGAAGTTAAAACGCCTAATACTAGTTTTCAAGGTATAAAAATAATATTTTCTATAGATGCGTTTCACAAAGCACTATCGTGCGGCAGATGGTGGTCAACCCGCAGTTATCAGAGTGAGAAACGAAAGTAAATATATAGTACTTGTTTTTGGAAGCAAGAGCATAGAAACGTACTTTAACTTTCTTCTTGCATGCTAAAGGTTGACTGTCATCTGCTGTCTGCAACGTTTACTGAAACCACCAATTGTTATAAATTATGCTCAGAAGTAATTGACTTGTGTTTTACTATCATATAATGTTTATTTGGCTCTACATTTCAGCACAATGCGTTAGTTCAGTGACAACGTTCAAAATTCCTTTCGTAATCATGACCGTATTCTTGTGCGTTTTACTCTTCATTATCGCTTGTTACTTCGTACTAAAATGGCGACGACGACAACATGAAACAGGAAAGACTAAAGACAAAACAAAACGCGCCACAACGGATGAAAAGATTCCGATGAACGACAAAAAAGACAATAATAATGAACTAACAACAGCTTAGGATTACTTTTGCACATGTAATGCACGCGTAAAATAATTTCATAACTTGTCAACAAGATGTGTTCGCAGCAAACTTGTGGAAAGCTTGTCAACAAGTTGTAAAAATGTTGTTTATCAAGTTGCTACAAGGTTGCCACTCGCAACTTGTTAACAAATTGTTGAATTGCAGGACGATAACAAGTTGTTGGAACAACTTTTAAAGTTTACCTAACCTTAATTATTTTAGCATCTCATTCCTAAGAACCTTTGAAATGATATTGTAACTTATTTTGAAGATTTTCGTTTGCACACTTATTATTTCAGAGTTATTTCAGTTCTATTGGTATGCAAATGTCCGGAATTTACGTCACATCTGAATAATGACTGCATGATCAAAGAATGTAATCTACAGTTAAATATCGTGAAATAGAAGGGCCAAATTGTGTTTGACATAGGTATGTAATCCTCCCACAACTCCAAACTTTATTTTAATAAATTAAACTCGATAGTGAATACGATAAACAACCTTTTACTTTAAATCATTATGCATTTATGACGTAAATTCCGGATTTGCATACCAAACAAACTGAAATATCTCAGAAACAAAGTGAGCAAACGAAAATATTCAAAATATCATTTCAGAAGTTCTTAAGAATGAGATGATAAAATAATTGAGGTTAGTTGCACTTTAACAAGTCTGTTGTTCCAACAACATTGTAGCAATTCGTCAAAAAAAAAAGCTGGGAACAAGCAGCGTACACACATCCTGATAATGCCATCAAGCTTGTTGCAACTTGTTAACAACTTGTTCGAATCTTGTTACAACAACTGGGAACAAGCAGTGTGAACACAACTTGTCGACAGCTTGTGAATAGATTTGTAACAACTTGTGCGTTTTTATGCGTGTACACGCGTAAATATCTCGCATCTTGTAACAAATCTATCAACAAGCCGTCAACAAGTTGTGTTCGCACTGCTTGTCCCAAGTTGTCAACAAGTATGGGACAAGCTGTTAACAACTTGTAACAACCTTGTTGATATTATCAGACTTGTTGCAAGGTTGTTCCAACAAGTCCGATACAGTCATGATATAACAATATTGTTACAACCTTGTGTCGTCAACCTCGTAACATTTTTGTTATATCATGACTATATCAGAACAAATTGTTAGAACAACCTTGTAACAAGTCTGATAATCCCATCAAGCTTGTTACAAGTTGTTAACAGCTTGTTCCAAATTTGTTACAACAAACTGGGAACAAGCAGTGCGAACACAACTTGTCGACAGCTTGTGAACAGATTTGCAACAACTTGGGAAACAACCTTGTAACAAGTCTGTTGCTGGTTTACAACAACTTGCTAACAAGCTGGAAACAAGCAATTCGAACACATTAATATGATTTCACAGTCAGTATAACTTGACTGCACTTCGCACTGAAAGTAATATATTAAACTTTAATTAAACCACGAAAATGTTTGTGAAATTATGTATCAAAACTATTGGAGACCACAAATAGATGTTGAAGGTTTGTCATGGTATTATATTTTTCCGTTGAGCAAGATACCAAAAATGTATCCCAAAGGTCACGGGTTCGATTCCCACCGTGGTCAGGCAAACTTTTCAGCTTGCCCGGTGTCGATGCACACTCAGAGTGACATCACAAACATCATATTCACCTGAGTACATTACACCAACACACATAAAAATCAATATGTTATTTGTTCCTTTCTGCTACCCATAGTACCGCCAAGTTACCCACCGCGAGATATTCAATTAAACGTCGAAAGTTCAACGGCTATCAATATTTCCTGGAAAGCACCAATTCTCGAAAACACTCTTCGCACAACAGGTTACCAAATTTGTATTGCGCATGTGCAATCAGATGAAGAATGTGAGGTGATTTTGAGGACGAAAGCTTCCACATTCGTTGCGAGTGGTTTAATGCCAGCCAGGAAATACAAAGTTAGGGTCTCGGCGAAGAATAAAGTTGGATACGGGAAATATAGCAAGGATTATATTACGTTAACCAATTCAGGCAAGTAGTCAATATCTTGGCTTCACCAAGCACTATCGTAGATGATGGTCAACCCGCAGTTATCAGAGTGAGAAAATAATGATAATTCTTTTCATCGTATGTTTTTGGCGGTTAATAGTTGGAATTGAGAGATGTGGATGAATTTTCTTGCTCCCATATTTACCGTTGTAAAAAAGTATCACGGTTTTCGGCAAACTTTATAACACAGTTGTATAGCATTGATTAGATAGGCACTGTAAAGGGAGTTGTAGTTTCGTAAGTGATACCCTTAACTGCTATAAAATACACGTTTTACGCAATATATGCACTTCAAAACTATATACCATGCAATTTGCGGCATACTTAAGTGCAAAGTTGACCACCATCTGCTGTTTCGTAATGGCTGCTCAAAAATACTTATTGAAAGACTATTTACCAAGTTATTGGATTTTTTCTAAAAAGGTATTTCTATTTTTAGCATCGCCAGTAATTATTCCTTCTACGATAACTAAAGAAAGCTTCGTTATAAAATTACAAACACCAAGAGACGAAATAAGGTAACGAAACCTAAATCAAACTAACTTTATTTATACTAGATAGTTATATCAGTTTTAAATTGTTCTTCCTAGAGGTCAGTAAGGATCATCTCTTATTGATCCAGTGTTACTACAGGAGTAAAACTAAACTAAACTAACTTTATTTATACTGGATAGCTCTATCAGTTCTAAACTGTTCTTCCTAGAGATCCAGTAAGGATCATCTCTTATTGATTCAGTGTTACTACAGGAGGAAACCTAAACTAGACAAACTTTATTTATACTGGATAGCTCTATCAGTTCTAAACTGTTTTTCCTAGAGGTCCAGTAAGGATCATCTCTTATTGATTCAGTGTTACTACAGGAGGAAACCTAAACTAAACTAACTTTATTTATACTGGATAGCTC